TCAAAAGTATATATCCCTGAATGATTACCGCACCACTCACAAGGTATAATGAGGACACTTAAAAGGGGCAAAATTTTCCACACACACCTAAGTCACTTAGGACCCTAAGTCACAGTGAAAGCCAATGGACACTTTTACAAATTTTGCCCAAGAATCCATTTTGAGAGAACTCTGACACTTCTTAGATCTGTAGACACAGCAATATCTGACAGGTTACAGTGAGCCTTACCTATGTCTAAGATTAAGAAAAAATTTCAAATATTAAAACTAAATGGAAAAGAAAATTAAGAAAAGTGACAGTATTTAGGCTAATACAGCGATATTTTCCCACATTTCAGAAAAGTTTCTGGCAGATCTCCCAGCTCTGCTAATCTGTTCACAAGATCTGTTCCTAAAACTTTGTCGAATAGTTAATGGGAGCTGGAGTCGGATGAGAAATGCGGGCGTGGGAGGCACAACAGCCAGTCAAGGGAGCTGTTGGAGGTGGTGGGCAATGTTGGTGTAAGGGTTCTAGTAGGATACATGCCGCAATCCTTTGTTTACATAGCTATTCTAACACACTAGTTCAAGGGTACATCAGGGTTAGAGAGTTAGTTCAGAGTGAGGAGGGAAGTAATAGAAAAATTTTGTTGCTAATGTTATAAATAAAACTTCTGTTTACTCTTGGATCTGAAACTAGGTTAGACTGTCAGAACATTGTAGATTTTACTGTCCTAAGTCAACTACAAATGTGAGTCTTCAACAGCTTCCTTTACAATGCATTTTAAAATCTAATTGGGATATTGTGTGTATGTGATACAGTAGTTCTTTGTAAATAATCAAATGTCTTTAAATGAAATAATCGTAACATCTTCTGCTGCAACTTTTAACATCCAATTGGGGGACGTACACACAATTCATTTTTAGAGCTGATGCAATACTACTTCAAGGTACAAGGAGTTTAACCTGCACAATGTTGAAATCTTCACTTTGGCAAGAGTATACCCTCTAGATTTCTATCCCCAATTTAAAAATGGTATTGGTGCTGAAGTATTACATGTGACCAACTAGTTGTGAGTTTGCATATCATATGTTCTGCAGTAACTAAGCAGAAGGTCATATTATTATGGATCAGATAAAAAGCCTTAATTCCCATTTTTCCAATCGATTGTTTGACAGGCTCCAAGCCTTACCATCTGCTCTTACCATTCAACCTGTCCCTTTTACACCATGGGGTAAATTGAGCTCACATAAATATGTTTTAATACAGCTAAATGTAAATGTATATATCTAGGAACAAACAATGTAGGCCATACTTGCAGGATAGGGGACTCTATCTTGGGAAACAGTGACTCTGAAAAAGATTTGGGGGTCATGGTGGATAATTAACTGAACATGAGCTCCCAGTCTGATGCTGTGGCCAAAAGAGCTAATGTGATCCTAAGATTTATAAACAGTGGAATCTCAAGTAGGAGTAGAGAGGTTGTTTTACCTCTATGTTTGACACTGGTGTGACCACTCTTAGAATACTGTGTTCAGTTCTAGTGCTCACAATTCAAGGATGTTGATAAATTATAGATGGTTCAGAGAAGAGCCACAAGAATGATTAAAGGATTAGAAAACATGCCTCATAGTTGCCAGGGTTTCCTCCCCACTCTGAACTCTAGGGTACAGATGTGGGGACCCGCATGAGAGACTCCCGAAGCTTATTTCTACCAGCTTAGGTTAAAAACTCCCCAAGGCACAAATTCTCCCTTGTACCTTGGATTAGGTAATGCTGCCACCACCAAGTGATTTAGACAAACTCAGGGAAAGGACCACTTGGAGTGTCTACTTCCCCCTAATATCCCCCGCCCCCAAGTCCCCACACCGCCTTTCCTTGGGAGGCTTGAGAATAAACAAGATGAGCACAGAGCAACCTTGGGATTTTTAGGACACTAAAAAAAAAACAAAGAAAAGAAACAGAACTTTATTATAAAGAAAAAAGGTAAAAGAAACACCTCTGTAAAATCAGAATGGAAGATAATCTTACAGGGCAATCAGATTAAAAAAAAAACAGAGGATTTCCCTCGGGGCCAAACTTTAAAGTTACAAAAAGAAAACCAGGAATAAACCTTCCTCTCAGCACAGAGAAAATCACAAGCCAAAACAAAAATAAGCTAATGCATTCCCTTGCTAGTACTTACTAATTCTAATGGAGTTGGATTGCTTGCTTCCTTGATCTGTGTCCGGCAAGCACACAGAACAGACAGACCAAAACTTTCCCCTGCACCAGATTTGAAAGTATCTTGTCCCCTTATTGGTCCTTTTGGTCAGGTGCCAGCCAGATAACCTGAGCTTCTTAACCCTTTATAGGTAAAAGGATTTTGTGCCTCTGGCCAGGAGGGATTTTATAGTACTGTATACAGGAAGGTTGTTACCCTTCCCTTTATATTTTTGACAATAGTGATAGATTCAAAGAGCTCAATCTATTTAGCTTAACAAAGAAGGCTGACCATAAGTGTCTATAAGTATCTACATGGGGAACAAATATTTAATAAACTCTTTGACCTAACAGAGAAAGGTAAAACATGATCAAATAGGTGGAAGTTGTAGCTAGACAAATCAGACTGGAAGTAAGATGTACTGGTGACAGTAATTAACAGTTTACCAAGGGTCATGAGAGATTCTCCATCACTGATCATTTTTAAATCACGACTGGGATGTTCTTCAAAATAATTCCTCAAGCATATATTTTAGAAGTTCTATGGCCTGCTATCCAGCAAGACAAACTAGATCAAAATATATTCCAAAGCCAGAAGGGACCATGAACCACTCATTTCCTGATTTCCTTGATTTCACCTAATTCCTTCTCTCTCCTTTATCCTTCATTGCACTGCTTCTGGCCTATTTTCCATCATGCTTTGTTTCCACTTGAATACAACTTTCATTTCTAATTACTATCCTATTTCCCTTCTCTTCTTTAGCTCCAAAATCCTGCAGCATGCTATTCGTTCTCATTGCCTTTACTTCCTCTTCCAATTCTCTTCTTGATCCACCCCCAAATTGGATTCCATCCTCCAATAACACTGACCTCAGTGAAATCAGTCAAGAACTCCAAGATACATCTAAGGGACGCTTCTCTATCCTCATCGTCTACATCTCCCTACTGCTTTAGATATGGAGCACCCTCTTTTCCTAACTTCCATGACCCTCTGCTTTATTGGTCCTCCCACTCTGTGAACCATTGCTTCAACAAATCCATTATTTGCACCAAATTCACTTATTTTCCCTGCATTTGTTGGTGTCCACACTCTCCACACATTTGTTGGTGTCCACACACATTAAGCTTCCACACACTCTCCCCTTTACTCGCACCTAATTTTCTCCTACTGTTTAAACTACCACCTCCGTGTTGATGAATCTTAAAGTCTCTCTCTGCCTAGTCTCATCTCTAGATGCCTCTCAGACATTGTCTTGGATATTCAGCTGCTTCTGACATCCGACCCAACCTCTCCAAAACAGAAGATTCATTTTTCTGCCTATTCCCTCTTTTTTGCCTCCCATTTCTTTCTCCATTATTAACTCCCATCCTGTCTGTCTCCTAGGCTCACAATCTTGAAATTTACAACATCTCTTCTACTAAAGTCTGTAACCTGCTCCTGTCTGACCTCACTGTCTCACTTCTATGCTCTTAAGTCTGTCCAAAATTAAAAGTGATATTGCCACTGTTAATGAAGAGGGTCTAAGTACAAATCAACATTTAAATATATGTATGCATAAAAGGCACACACACAAACTTCTGCTTCCTTTCTTATGGTTACCATCTGACAAAAGATATAAATTAGTATTGGGCATTTGCATTTTCAGTGTGGGCCTGTCCCATGCCTCGTTGCAATCAATAAGCAATCCAATAGTTATTCTGCATTTCAAATTTACTAAAGCTAAGAGCTGAGGTGCTTGGCTCCTTGCAGGAGACAGCCTGTAATGTGGTACTGGATAACTATTACTGAATTCCCCATAAAAACTGCACACTTTAAACTCTTTTTTATTAAAATGGCAATCTCCTGATGACGACAAACTTTCCATTTGCCTTTCGCAAAGGAATGCATTAGGCTAATTGAAGTTCTTCCTTGAATTAGTGACTTGTAAATATAAATCAATTCCTTTTCTACTAATTTTGGCACATTTGGACTTAAAGAATTTTAAAAGTTAAAGTACCCAAGTTCTTTGGAGTTTAACAATGGTTGGCAAATGTAGCTAGGAGCTAAAGTAAAAATCTTAAGAAGAAACTTGTTCCCCTCCAAAGTTTGCCTGAATTTCTCTTCCTGTCTAATTTTTAAGAGAGTATCTTCGAAACTGAAGATTCAAGCCTTTGCCAGAATCATCTTCTAGCTTATTAACTCTGCCACTTATTTGTCAAGCTTTGTAGACACATGAAAGAAGCCTCTTAAGACATTTTAAGTAACTCATCTTTTTTTTATGTACTAAAGAGCAGACTGAATTTTAGCACTGCACGTGAACAGATAATTAACCAGCGGTCGATAAGCACATTGTGCAGACATATGGATAAGGTGAAAAGCAAGCAGGCAAGTGAGTTCAAGAATTTTACCCTGGGCAAAAAGCTGAATTCTTTGATGTGCATTTGGACAAAGGAATTGAAGAGGAAGATTCTACACTTTGCTGCCATCTTGGACTTCACCATTAAGTCAGGAGATCTGTCTTACCTGCACTGAACTCCATGCTTTGTTTGAATTCACAAAAATTAAAAGATCGCTTATTTACCAATTTTCCTTCAATTAAAAAAAAAAAAAACATACAACAACAGTATAGCTGTGTCTATTTTTGTGGAAACATATAGACAGGGCTTCTAACTGGAACACTTTTGTAGTACTTGGAAGGTATAAGTTACTTTTTAAGTATAAATTAATTAGAACAAAATCTTAAATATTGCTATCATTCATTATATAATAAAAGAAAAACCGTGGTATATTAAAACAGACACCTTTCTCTCACTTTTCTTCTCTTTATAATACACTAACCTGGTGCAGTAATCTTTTCAGTTTTAGTAACTGAGTTTTTACAGCTGTGCAATCTTGAACCATATGCCGAAGGGTCATTTCATCAAGCATCACCGTGTTCTCCCGTAAGCCCACCAACTGTCTAGGCGTCTGGTAGATGTTTGGTGCTCCATAGCCTTCAAAGTGACCAATAGAAGGCTCTAAGTGGCTGGAGCCCCTGCAAGAAATATTTTAGATAAAATCAAGAGCAGTCTTAATCTAGAGCTAAAATCTGTGAGCTCTGTTTTTAATGAGAGAGCATTTTAGTATTGTGTGTGTGTATATTATTATTAATGCTGTAAGCAATTTTTAAAATTGCAGAGTACTAAAGGGCATCAGCTATATTCATTTAGATTGCCGAGTAGAGAAAAACATTCACAAAACAAAGCTGCCTTGCAAAAAATGCCAGACTATTTACTTCTTAATAAAATAGAAACACTTTCCCATGTCACATGACAGCTACTGGAACAATGAAACCAGCAAAGCATTTTCCCTTGAGCACATATGCAGAAATTGACTGTTCATTTATAATATTGTTTAACACAGAGAAACTAGTCCCACCCTAGGGCAAAATATTTGCATCTAAATTACAACCCCCGGCAAAGATCTGAGTTTAAAGAAGGGAATATTAGAGCAGTACCAGTATAAGTGTCATCTTCTCTCAAAACAATCTAATCATAGGCACACCACTTCTCTGAAAATGCTATAACCTGTCCTTCAACAGAAGAAGCCACACATCATAATACATTAATTTCTAATAACTCCATCAGAAGAGGTGCAACACAGTCCTTACCTGCTCAGGTCATTTTTACCATGTGGAAAGTGGCCTACATGGCCAAAGTGACAGTGGTCTTGTGTATTCCAACGCTGCGGTGTCCTCTTCCAGAATCCATCCTGCTGCTGTCGTGTATTTCTGTCTTGTCTATCATAACGATTCATATTTTCACACTCCACTACACAGATGTTTAAAAAAGTTATGTACATAACATATTCTAAAGGAATTCACTACCCACAAAAATACAAGTACTGTACATGTTAATCAGATATTACTAATAGGTGCACAAGTATACAGTCTGAAACATGAATTCTTCAAACTGCTCATAAAAGCGAGCTAAACTGAACACTAAGCATCAGAATGGTCACAGGAGACCACCTGTACTGGCCGCACTTTTTATCTCCACAGCCCCTATTGCAATAACTTCAGAAGTTATATTGTTTAAATAAAAATAAAAAGTGATCAGAACCTGCAGCAGAATCTACAAAATGTAAAACTTAAGATTTAAAAATGTTTTTAGAAGACCGATTTGATATTAGAAAACATTTTGTCTCTTTTTACTATCAGTATCATTAGCCTTTTAAGACTTAGGAACAATACACACAATATAGGAAGACAATATTTTAGAAAAAGAGGCCAACACAATGTTCTGAAATGAAGAACAATTTTTTTAGCTTTAGAAAGAATCCCGAAGATTTTTAAAAATCTTTTAAAAACATTAAACGTCTTCAGATTTAAACAGCTTTTGTCCACAAACAGTTTGAGAAGACTGAATTTGGCAACAGCTTGTAAACCACTAGAAACAAAGCCAAAACTCAACTACAATCCCTGCAGTCAGACGCAGCAAAAAAGTTAATGTTATGAACTACTGTTCTGCTGCTATACTTCCCTGTCACTTACCCAAAGAGTTTTTCCTCACATTGTCAGCCTGTCTCTAGAAGAGGAACTTTACACAACAGAACATTGTGTTACTCAGCTGCCTACTCAGACATAGTTGTACGTAAGACATTGATAAACAGGCCTTCCTTCCTGCTTCGTTCCCAGCCTGCATTTTGTTGGGAAGCAAGCCCAGTTTTACCCTGTGATTTAAAACTACCATCCTCACTCACTGCCTACACATACTTGTTGAGCTAGAACTGTTTCTATATATAGCATCTGAGCACCATCCCAGACTCCAGGATGGAACAGGCGAAGTTTCAGTATGCCTATGAAGTATTCTGAGGATGTTGGTATCAGTTAAATTATGCATAATCCTAAACTGACTGAAGGCAGTAAAGTGCATTTAAGGCACAAAGTAATCCTAAATTAAGGTATTGTTGTAATAATTCATCGTATATATGCTCAATTTTATCAGCTACTTTTATAATCAAGATATGAGGGGAAAAAAATCTTTTGAAAAGTGAACTGTTACATAAAACAAAATATAGTAAACAATTACTTTAAAAAGCTGCCTCCTCTAGCTCATTACATAGGAGTACATTACAAAGTATAAACAAATACATTTATAAGTAATTTCATTATGATTCAGCTTTGCAAACAAAATTGTGCAGACAGTGCATAATGTCTGAGGAAAATGTGGACTGAGGACCACATTGCTGTTCTGCAGATATCCGTAACTGGGACATGCACCATAAATGCTGCTGAGATTGACTGAGCTCTGGCTGAGTGCACCATGAGTCGGTCAGAAAATGTCGCTGTGTAACAGAGTGTAATACAGTCTGTGATCCATTTCGAGAGCCTTTGGGTGGTGACTGGATGGTCCCTCAAATATTCTGCGTACGAGACAAAGAACTTGGATGAAATTCAAAAGGACTTTGTCCTATCCAAGTAAAAAGCTCAATGGACATATAGGGTGTGGAGTCTTCACTTATCTTCACTTATGAATCTGATTCTGGCTGGTATGCATACAGGAGCACTTTGCTCCAAGGAAATAGGAAGGTGTCTGATATTTATCCCAGGCTGTGATCCGGCCTAGAGCACAAACAGGAACACTGCCTATTCTGACGAGTCACAAATTAATCCATGGACAGAAAGCCCCGATGTGAAACAACCAGGCTAAAATGTTCATGCTGAGGGACCATTCATGGTCCAAATGAATGGTCTGCTAAGGCAATCTGCCATGGTGTTTTGAACCCCGAGCAGGTGATATGCTTTGAGGGACCAAGTTCCAAAGCTTGACTAACTTTTTGCAGTCTGATCTGACTCTTCCTTGTTTGTTCACATAAAAACTGCAGCAGTTATTGGTAAGCCCATGGACAGTCTTGCCTTGAATGTGAGGGAGGAAGTGCTAGAACACCCAGAAAGCTGCAGATAATCCTAGGACATTTATGTGCAATCTGGCCTCTTGTGTAGTCCACAAACTTTGAGCTCAAAGGTTGCTGAGATGCACTCGCCACCCCACAGCTCAAGCAACTGTTACCAGAATCATGGGAGGGGAGGGAAGAAAGAAAGGGACTTCCCTGCACAAGTTGTCTTGGCTCATCCACCAGGTCAGAGACAACAACACCCTGTCCGGGATTTGCACTGGCTTATCTAGGTGATGAATTTGAGGGCAATAGAGTGACAAAAGAGGGCAAAAGAGCCATGCTTGTACGAGGTGCAACCTACCATGACGAATGACATGTTCATACTGTCATATGCCTTAAGAGCCTCAGACAGTTTCTCACAGTGGTCTGAGGGTGATCCTTCAGCTCCCCCTCGGGACACAGACTCAGCGGTGAGGCTGCACCCAATCCTGACACAGCGCAAGAACCAGGCCTTCCCCAGAAAACACTGCAGAGCCCTGCCTTTCCGTGCCAGGTGCACCAGATGTGCGCAGGCAGGCACAGAAACGCAGGATCCAAGTGTGGAGGGGCCGAGTATGGGGAAATCCAGGTATGGGTTGAGAGGGTTCTGTGTGGGGCAATCTTGGTGCGGGTGGCTCAGTGAAAGATCCGGGTGTGGGGGAGATCTGGATGCACAGCGGCTTGTTAAGGGATTCTAGGTACACCGATAATGGGACTTTGCAGGAGGGTCCAGGTGAAGGTGGTTGGTGCTCAGCAGGGGGGCTCTGAGCGTGGGGGGGGAATAGAGCTCAGCATTGGGTCTGGGGGGCTCAGTGGAGGGGTCCAGATGCTGTGGGAGTGGGGTTCAGTGCGGTTGGGACCCAGGTGCAGCTGGTTGGGGGTCAGTAAGGTGGGGTGTGGGTGGCTCGTTGGGGTGGTCCAGGTGCAGGGAGAGTGGGGCTCATCAGGAGGGTTCTGGCCGTGGTGGGGGGCTGAGGTTTGGCGGAAGGGTCTGGGTATGAGGGGGTCTGGATGCATGGGGGTTGGGCAGATGGGGGAGCAGCTCCCTGTACAGGGATCCCTCCCACTGCAGCTGAGGAGTGATGGGTACAGGAAGCACTGCGGGGGGGGGGGGAAGAAGAGTTTGCGGAGCTTTCTACATCCAGGGGAAAAATCTGGGGGTGGGTCTGACCCAGCCCCAGATGCTGTGCAGGGGAAGAGGACGTCCCGTCCTCCCCACCCCAGCCAGAACTATCAGCTGAGCCCGGTGCAGGGCAGGAGCCCCAGCCATGGCTTCCCCAGTCCTGCTCCCACCCCACAGTGATTTACCTGTCTGCTGGCTGCCAAGGGCACACGAAACATACTGCTGGGGAGGATCACATGACCACTTTTGTGTCTTCCCTTTGCTTCCCCGTCAGAAAGTCATTTTTCTGCAGGGAAACAAAGAAATCTGCGAGGGACATAAATTCTGTGCATGTGTACTGGCACAGAATTCCCTCAGGAGTAATCTGTATGAGCCCGTATTGGGAAGCAGCAACCAAAAAGGTCCGCTCTACCATTTGTTACAGACTGACCTAGCACTTGAAGAACACACTTTTCCTCTCTTAATAAAAATTCAGCTTTATTTTTTTTTTCTTTTGAGCAATTCTAGCACAAAAATCTGGGGTTACAAGTTGAAATTTGGCAGGGCAATAATTCTCACTGATAAGCATCTTTCATTTTAGTGTTCTTTGAAAACTGGATTTGATGGTTATCAGGCGATGAAAATTGCTCTTTGTGCAGTCACAGTAATTTTTTTAAAAGTGATCTGCCAGCTCCATGCATTTGTGGTTAACTTAGCTGTGCAGTGAATATACATATCCCCAGCAAACACTGATATGTACATTCAGAAAAAACTTTTCACCTCAAGCATAACGTTTTTAGCTGCAATAAGGTATGCACTCAATGAGGCAGAAGCTTCTCCTTCACTGAGTTGAGGAGCACAGTCAATGAGGCAGAGATCTGCAGAAGTCCTTGTCTTACTGAATGTTTACTTTCACATGACAGGGCATTGCAGTCATGTCTAGCCAAAATTTCTATTTATTTATTTTTAAAATTATGTTAAGTGGTACTGGCCATCCCAGTTAAAGCTGAATTGTGGGATAGGGCTGGGAGGGCAAGATACACCCCTTCATAGTGCCCTGGCATCTGCTGTCCATTGTCAGCTCTCTGTTATTAAAAGGGCTGGTTTTGGTCAATTCCAGTACCCCAAGGACTTCGTCTAGACTAGGATTTAAGGGTGCGAGGTTACATCACCTTCTCTAACTCAATCAATACATTTTAAAACTCTAATCAAGACAAACTGTACATTAGAACATACTAAGCTGGTCAAGTTAAAGATGACTATCTAATGAGATCTTTAAAAGCTTTGTTTATATAAAGCAATTACAGGTAGCAATCAGCCATAAAGAGCAGTGCTGGGTGGAAGAATGCTTTATCTTTCTCTGCTTCTGCATATATTTCTCTTACCCATGTAAGCAGCTGGCTGCACAGGCAATGTCAAGTTTAAAGGTGTGTGTTATATGGCCTGTTGGTCCAGGTTTCTTTGCATTGTGTCAGATTGCCTGAGTACCATCTGGACTTTAACACCATTGCACAGATCATGTTGTGCAGGCAAAACGTCTTAATATATACACATGTGCCTGGATATCACATTTTACTTTTTCATTTGTTTCTTCAATAGGATCAGAAATTTGGGAAGTTTGTCCAGCCAGAAGGAGTTGGAATGCAGATGGAATAATATGGAGGAGAGTGGAGAAGGGTGGCTGGGTCTCCTGACCTAACAAAAGTTAGAAAAGGAAGTAAAACTCATTCCTGAAAACTAGAAAGCAGCCCAGTTTCTCTGCAGAAAGGAACTAGAACTGCATTATCTTCACCACCATCCGCTCACCACCGCTGGCAGCATAGGGGCTACCATCTTTCCTAAGGGAAGTTTGGCTTCACTCCCAATAGGAACTATAGAAGGTCATGGCCATTTCAAAAAGATGGCATCTTAACTTAGGATTTCTGTGACCTACGTCTCATTCAAAACAGAATATGGAAATTATGTTTAATATGGCAGTTCTTTGTGGAATTCTCTGCAGAGGAATGTTATTTGTCAGCTGAAGGAGAATCTTTTAATTGTAAAGAAAAATGGCAAAAACTGATCACTGATCCTAAAATGTTTCCTCAAATGTAGCCAACACATGAGACTCTGAATGGAAAGTTTGAATTCACTGTTATTCTGTTAAGAAAATTACGACAAAAAATGGTCTGCAACCAGAACTCTAATTTTCTCAAAGGAGCAATTTTTTTTAAAATGTAACTCAAAATAACTTATTTGTTTGTAAATCCCAACAAAATTCATTCTGTAAGTGCAATAATTTTGGGGAAGATATAATTATTTATACATAGTAAAGTAGTTAAAGCCCTGCTTCAAGTACAAAACTCTTCTCAACCTTAACTGGAAGAATGACTGACACTTCCACCACACTAGGACAAGGTGAGTGAGGTAATATCTTTTATTGGACCAGCTTCTGTTCTGCAAATTTCCATAACAGATCCATAACACTGGGTTGAGTTGTGCATCTGGAGTATTAGGTTAGGTTGTTAGACCACAAGCAACCAAGGCTTAAGTACTTCACTAACCATTGTCACAAGGTGTGTCCTCAGGTAGGTCCACATCAAGCATGAGATCATCATCTTCGAGATCACATGAATCAAGGTTATTCAAGATATCCTACAAGAAAAAGATGAATGTGGGAAAACAACTGTGTGCATAAACAATGTTCTCACTTACATGATAGTTACCTTACTGCCTTGCCATAAAGTGGCATATTTTTATTTTACAATATAGTTACACTGCATTTATGTTCAAGACAACACGTTTCCTCTTTCTCCAGTTGCATGATCAGTCAACACTACCCAGTGAAATTGCTTCACAGTAAGGCTACTAATTATCGCATCTCTGGAAGCCTGATACAGTAACAATGCCTCCGTAAACAGTTAAAATCTAACCAACGCATATTTTCTACTTGGTGTCTTGAGGTTTCTCTGAAGGTGTGTCTGTTCATTGGCTTAGTACTTTTCAATATGATTTCTCCAGTTAGAATTTTTTAAACCTTTGCGCAACTCATTTGCTCACTTTAATGAGCTGATATTAACTAGAAAATCCTCATTTGTAAAGAGTTAGCTTCCTGAATTTTATTAATAAAGTTAAACAGTACAAATGTTGCCACTTTTCCCATATCGATCAAAAGAATGAAAAGTCTTGTATGACATCATAACAATATTCAATACAAAAAAGTGGGTAAAAATAATCAGTCAAAACAAAAACAGCACAACCTTACTTCAAGTATCAGATTTGTCTGTCCCAGCCTCAGTAAAGTACAAGTGACAAAGGAACTGCTCTAAATTATAAACTACTCAACTAAAAAGTTTCAGTAAAATTATAATTTTGCAGGAAGTAGCACCAGGGGTGACTCAAAACTCCTTTGCCACTGCCAAAACAGGAAGTTAATTAGCAGCTAGAACTTAAGTGAGTGATGGACCTGCACATGGCAAGCAGTCCTACTTTTCCCCTTCCATAACCCACAATCCGTAACAAGATTACGGAAAGATCAATAATTAACACCCAAATAGGACATTCTGATGCAAATATTAAACTATGAAACCAATACTAACATAGAGATTTACATTTACAGGATGAAAATTCAACAACAGTACCCAGAGTAACAAATACCCTAAACCAGGGGTGGGCAACCTGCGGACTGTTTACATTTGCACGGCTGCCCGCAGCTGCCAGTGGCCGCAGTTCACCGTTCCCGGCCAATGGGAGCTGTAGGGGGTGTGCAAATGTAAACAGACTGGCAGCCCGCCATAGACTTGCCCTGACAGGCCACAGGCCCACCACTGCCCTAAACCAAACATCCAAACAGTGAACCAGTGGCAGTACCTTGCCTTGAATGAGAAGGTGGGAAAGTTGTAAAAAAAGCTTCAAAAGTGCAGAGCACGGACAAGAGGCAGGACTCCTGCCCTGTGTCTGCTACACTTCTCAAGGGGCCACGTGGCCAGTCAAGGCCTAGTCACTAAGGCATCTTATCAAGGGGCAGCAGTCAGTGACATCACTGCCACTGTACTAGCCCTTCCCGGAGGCAGATTCCAGTCCCTCTGAACCAGCCAGTCAATCATGTTGATCTGCTACAGCGAGCAATGCTGGACTTTAAACCTTGAGCTGAATTGCGGACTACTGCTTCAAGTGATATTTTGTGTGGTGACCACTTTCTTTTATTTTAAACCTAAAAGGTGAACAGAAGTTCTATTTTATTGATTGTTATTTGATCTAATCACTTTAAGGACTATGATATATGGGAATGACATGGTAAAAACCTTTACCGTTTGATGGATTTGGCTTTTAGATCTTCTCCTGTGCCAACCCCAACATTTTACATTAGTTTGTTATGCTTTTAATCTATGCTTTTCTCTTTAGAACAGAGTGGCAGGGTGTGGCAAATTTAAATCCCTGTGTTCTATTCTGTTGCTCAAGGCACCTACTAACCTTTAGCAAAAAAACAAGATGTGGATTTTTAAAGAGAAGGGAAGCTGATATGAATAAATTTATTGTTGTTAATCCAGGTGTAGTCTGGAATACCAATAAGTGAACACCTACATTCCTTTAATATGTCTGTCAATCAGAAGCTGAAAGTCTCAAATTTTCACTGAGAATTTAAGGTTTCCCAAAGGTTTTTCTGACCAACAAAACCTAAAACAAACAGTTATTGGCACCCATACACAGTTGTTTCCTGTCTTTCCACAAGAGGATCTCTATCTTAAGAAGTGGGACAAACTGATTTAAAAAAGGTTTTCCAAAACTAATTTTCCATTACTGTGTTTCTGCATATGCTTGAAGAATCTTAGTGCCCAAGAGCACCATTTTGAAGTGCGATTCCTGATTCTTCTGAATATCTCCAAGATATTTTCTTTATTGAATGGTTTTCCTTCCTGGAATCTTGGCATAAAACTTTGCGAACAGCACACATTGTCAATACAGTCCATATGAGCACCTTTAAGTAGTTCTGCAAATTAGGCTTTTTGTTTGTGATGCAGATCCAATTTGCTGCTGAATACATATTTTATGCAGCTCCGTCATCAATGTTTTTTATCCATTGCAACATGAGTGTGAATGCACATGTACATTTTCAGGAAAATATATTAATTACACTTCTAGATTTACTGCTTTTCTATGGTAGACTTTAACAAGCACAAGACTACTTATACTACAGTAAGGGATACTGAATAGCCATATATAAGGTTAAATACCTCCTGAAGGTAATTGGAAATACAAACATCTTTGACATTCTAGATCAATGTCCTACAACACATGTATTAATATGCTGTGTTTCTGAATGACTGGGTGTAAGCTATGAAACCTACATGACGCACATCAGTGTTACTATGTATCTGAATTTTTAATTGGCTGTCAGTAAGGTTTTAACATCTTGAGTAGCCACACCTATTTACAGGTATTAAGAGATGTTTATCGGACTTCCAGCAGGTTGTTTGGAAAACCTTATTGTAATAACTTCATGCCAGAGACTTAAAATTATACAATTATTAGACAGATTTGAACTATGACTACTTTCATTATTCCCCGCCCCCCTTAGTCTCCTGACAATCAGTTTCGTGTTCATGAAAGTAAAGGGCTATTGTCATTGGCTTGAGACAACTAGGAGATCAATATAGGCATCCCAACATAGATCTTGAGTATAGGTCACTACTGATTGCAAAACATGTAGTATATTATTCTCATTAGCACGCATTTTTACTCTCTTCTTAAAAACACCAAGCGTACTGGATAAAAGCAAGAATGAGCCCTTTTTGTAAAAGTAAATTACATGGCAGTCATGAGTTGCAACTTGCCCAGAATTTAGCAACCTTAGCAACTTATCCAATGCATACATTATAGCAAAACCCAGCTAGAGACTCTTTCTGGTAGGACCAGAAGCAGCCAAAGCAGAGACTGCCGACTAGTGCCAAAATATTCCAGAAATCTACTTACAATTCACAAAAGCATCCAAAAACCCATGATCATTATTTTATAACATGACACTAGTGTTCACCAATATATACGGGCTAGCATATATATTATATTTCTGTCTCTCTCACTCTCACACATACACAGCCTAAATTGACCTGTACCTTTACTATAAACCTTTTCACTTATGCTAAGTATCCCATAACTCCTTGCATTAGCTGAAGTAAGCTTTGGCTTAAGAAGATAGTATATCTGTCAGGACCAGGACATATGATTATTTTACCAGAGCAACAGGCAGGGAGTTTCTCACAGAACACCTGAATGCTAGTATCCAAACCAAAAATAAGGAAAGGAACAGAACAAGTTAAGGAATCAGGACAAATGGATGGGTTGGATATTAGTAACATGTAACTTAGAAAATCATCCTACAAATACTACCAGCTGAAATGTGTAACTTTGGGAGCATACCTTCTGCATAAGGTAAATGTAACAATAGTGCATGAGACAGCCTCCCAGAGACTGGTATCATATAGAAGCATTTTCCTGTACTATATTATTGGTGACTTACAGCAATAAACCTGACTGATATTGGCCGTTTGGTCTCTTGAACTAAACTGTGGTCAAGCAACTCACTACACAATTTATCAACACCAGAAATGCAAGTAAATAATCAATAATTTTAAGGATACCATTTAAGGATTAGCCGTAAACACAATTTATCAACCTTCCCTGAAATCTGCAAGTTTTTAAATTTTATTTTAAGTTTTTGTCCTGTAAGCACGAGAAAGCTGGTCTGGAAGTCACTGAAATCTTCTTGCACTACAGCAGTGGTTATCTACCTTTTCCATGCCACAAACTCACTTTAGGGAAAAAAAAATATTCTGAGATTCCCCTCCCCATCTAGCCATAAAGAAAGGAAACATGGTCACAAACACCAAACTGAGAATCCATGCTCTCTATGAATGAGAGTCACATCTCCTAGCCGTCATGCATTCATGAAATGCTTTCTACTGTTCCGTGTTACTACTATTGACATAATTTCCTACATGCTTTCTATTCTAATATGCCAACCATCATGGTATCTAGCGCTGTACTTCTGCCAAAAAATATCTAAACAGATGGCACTGAGGTGTGAAAAGTGACAATTTGAATCCCAATTGACTTCATGTTGATTCAACAACATTGGACACCTTTTCTTTCTTAAAGCATGATACGTTTTTGGTGACAAAGAAATTGAGCCTGCATTAAATTCAGCAAAGGTCTGGTTATCAGATAAAGTGTGCATGGACTATTCACATCAGTATGATCATAGCATACACAATTCAGCAAACTGAATACTATTTTGCTACACCATCTTAGTTGTAGGATATTACATACTGTGGTGCAATACACTCTAGATGAGATAAAACATACCTTGGCAGGACAATATCTGATTTAAAATTCTTGGTGTCTTAATTCTTAAGAAGGTATACCACTATTAGAAATCTTGCTCTTCAGAATTTACTGCTAGCCAGTATCTAGCTAGTCATGGTTTTATTTTTGTACATCAACTTACTGGAAGTTGAACTTTGAATTGGATTTTACATAAATGACACCCCAAACAAAATACTACTATTGCATCATAATGCAATTACTACATCTGCTTTTATTATGAGTGTTCTGAAAATTCCTTCTGAAATGAAACTAAGCTGCTGCTTCCCTGCTTA